ACTTTGGATAGAGGTATATGGAACGTCTCATTTGCAAGGTCTCCTCCTCATCCTCTCCTACTGCATGAGAGGTTCTATCTCTTTAGGGGACGTGGGCTTCTCTTGAATTCCTCATTCCTCTTGGTTGGGCCCACAACACCGTCTTCAGTGGGCTTTAATTGTCCAATGGAGCTTTGTTTGGGATCCCTTGGATACTCCTCTTACTCTACACTCTCCATTACTGACAGACTTTGCCTGTTGGCTGGATTGGCCAAAACTACATTGGGGGTTCCTCTTCCTCCACCTCATCCAGACTGTCACCTTTTTACAGATGCTTCCCTTTTCTATTGGAGAGCGTATCTCAACTGTCAGGAGGTTTTGGGATGGTGGATTCTTACCGAATCCACTCTCCATATCAATACCCTGGAGATTCATGCTGTTCAGCACGCTGTCCTTCACTTCTTGCTGTCTTTTTAGGGACAGGTGGTGATGATCCACTGTGACAATTCAACAGTGGTGTCCCATGTCACCAGGCAAGGAGTCACCTGGTAGAAAAACATTTTTTTATCAAACAAGTAGTACATGATGATGACAAAACCTTGTCAAAACACTACATTTGCTGTTATGTTAAACTTATATTAAATTTTTTCTTCATTACCCATTCAAGTCATCTCCAAACATTATTAGCCTCCAAGTGGGTTCCTCGTCATCAAATAACACTAATCAGTTTGAGAGTAGGGCAGTGGCATTCTGCTGGTGTTGATGGTGTGATATCCTTCCTACCTCAGACCTGATTTACAATTCCAGATGTGGTCAGGTATTTGTTGTAGTACTCCACCGTGTCTATATATATATATTGCAGTTTGCTCCTCCAGCTGAGGCATTCCTCCTTTCAACCATCCTCCAAATGTTGGTTCCCTGTGAATCAGGTATTATTTGGAGATGGTCCAGCCTCATAAGTCCTCACATGTTTTTGGCTGGTACCCTCCTCCTATTGTGGACTGGATATAAATTCCAAATGTTGCCAAGTTTTTGACTGGAGGTGTAACCCCAAATTGCAGTCCCTTTTCCTACTCTCCACTAGATTTTGGTTTTTGGTGGATCTGGTGTTGGTTGAAAGCTGGACAAGACACATAAATTCCCATGAGTGTAAGGCTGGCTTCCCTGTTCCTACTACAGACTGGATGACACATTCCAATGCTGCCTGCTTTTGGACTGGAGATGAATGTCTCTTGAGCTCTCCATACCTCCTACCATCGACTTGATGTCAATTTTTGGTGGATCAGGTGTTGGTTGTGTTGGAGATACACACATGTTCTTGGAACAGAAGCTCATATTCCCTCCCAGTACCCATTTTTGAAGTGAAAGGTAGAGGACCCTCTTCCTATCATGGACCAGATGTACAATTCCAGATACCATCAGGTGTTGTTTGAGGTCAAACTTCCATTTACGGTCTGTCATGCCCTAGCCACTCGACAGCTGGGGATCCCTTTCCTGCTGAAAAGTTTGGGACCCCTCCATGTTTCCACCCTTTAGATTTTGACAATACATTCCTGAAGGGTGAAGAGTATACCTGGCTTAGAAATGGTACAGTCTCCCACTGGTGTGTTGTTTTTAATTTCTTGCCACACCTCATGGTTTTTCTTTGGGTACTTTCTAAAGGAAGATTATATTCTCACTGGCCCTCCACCAGGTCATTGTGGGATTCTAGCTTTTTGTGAGAATAGGTAAGATATTGTATCAGAAGATAACATTTTCCTAAACCAAAAATGTATTTCTGATAGATACTTATCTTCACTCATATTTCCCACCCATCGTTCCCGCTTCTGGTGTATTGGTTTACTTGGTCATGACCAATCTCAATGTATTAACAGATTCATTATAAGAGAGGATGCTAGTTATGATAGAGGTAGTGTTGCACTCCTATTGGTGGAGGGTTATTACATGATCACTTGCATGTTGATATGCACAAAGAAGTGAGAGTTATAAGGCTAGTGGCGAGCAAATAAATTTGCGCCGATAGAGGGCACTACTAATTGAGAAAGCTTTTTGTGAAAAGGAGGTAAGTATCTATAGGAAATACATTTTCAGTTTTCAAAAATGCTAACTTTCCAACATCATTTGCTCTTACATACACTAGAGCAATAGAATTGTAGCAAGAACTAAGCTGTCTTTTAACACAAACCATAATATTCCATATTTTATTACCTGGTAAGCAAATTCTATTTCTAACCTTTATATTCTTCCCACTATAAATAACTTTATCCATATTCATAATGATAGTTTCCCCTCACTGTCTCTAGAGCCTTAACATTTTTAATACTGTGCACACTTGTAAACCCTGCATTAAAATTCTCATCTTCTCCCTAGCAACGTTTACCATTACTCAATTTTATCCATTTCCAGTATTGTTTCCACAATCTCTGCTTCTAACCTACTTCCTACAAATAATTTAAAAATATATTAAAATTGACATGGTTATAGAAATGAAAGACTGGTGATGAATGAGAATTTTTTTGATTGGAAGGATGTGACTTGTTAGAAAAACTGGTTCTGTTAAAAGTTTTTTTCTTATGTGATGTTTGAATATACCATATGTTTTATATTCTTATTCTGAATTCATTTTTTGTTCTGCATGTGTGCAGACTGCTCTTAACATGTGGTTGAGAAAACCATTGATTTGATCTCCTGTCAAGTCACCTTTGTTATTCTTCAATTAGATAATACCTGTTACCACCCATGGAGAACATTGCTGAATGCAGCCTTGAGTAAAAATGTAAATAGCAGTGCCCTTCAACAATTGTTTAGGTGATGTCTATAAGTTTTGGCCCTGCCTATGTGTAATTAGAATGACCAATCACATAGTTTCAAATGTTGCACTGGATAAATCCAAGGTTCCTTTAAAACTAAGAAACCTTGGATTTGGCAGTCTGGTCTGAAACATCATTGAAGACAGTTTGATAGATGATCTAGACTTGAGAGAGCATCCTGTTAAAGATATTGTCCAACATTTGTAAGTACAGTGCAAGTATACACACTGTATTTGTGTTTTATACTTAATAAAGATTGTTCACTTTATTTTACACTTGTGTCCAGTTTCATTATTTTGTCTAACACTGACTCATTAAGTAAGAGTTTTAGTAACACTCTGTAATCATTATCCTTATCAAGTCTGCAGTTATTAAGTGCATCTATCCAATAGCTTGAACATGTGTGTGTGTGTTTGTATATGTATATATATATAT